TCAGCGATCTATTATAAATGATCAGCAATTATATAACATAGTTAAAGGTTTTTTAACTTCGAGAAAGATAAAATAATAAGTGTGAGTTATTTTTTTGACATGAAACTAATTTAATAAATGATACAGCAAAGAGATCTTAGCCTTATATTCTAATAACTGTTAAGTTATCATCAAAATAAAAAGAGTTAGTGATGCTTATTTGTTCCATATTTTTATTCTGAACGCTTCCTTATCTAAGTTTTATAATAAAAAAACAAGTGTGAGTAAAGATAAATGACAGTATAATGGATTTGAAAAGATCTAGTTTAGTATCAAATCCATCTTTTTCATTTCGAGCGATTCATTTTTAGAATCTTTTTTTCTTTCAAAATAAAATTAATATTGATTTTGTCTCGCACATATGTCGCTCTTCTTATATTGTATAGAAATCAAACTAAAAAAAAATAATTTTTATTTTTAATATATATTTGAAGAAAATAATTCGAATTAATTGTCTGCTCACAGATTATATTTATCATCAATCCTTCAGCTCCTATTCTATTAAATAAAAAGTAACTTCGATATATAATGATACAAGTGATAAAAGATAATGAAAAAATTATTCGAGTTTTCACTTAAATAAAATAAATAAAAAAATTATTACATGTAGTGTTACACGAGATATTACGCAAGATTTTTTTAAATTTCTAATTCTCTTAAGATATTACAGATTGACTTGAAACATTATTCATTCTATTCAACTATTGTTCATACTATCACTATTAGAAAATAAATCCTATTAAAATCTCCGACAAGTTTCATAGTCACATTCTTATGTCATGAAAATCATGTTTAATCATCGATTTTAGTAATCAATTATAAACTACAAATTTATTATTTAAGAATTTATAAATTGAAGAGTGAAATAGAATCACAGACATTTGAAGCAAAAAAAAGATTAGTTTTGTTATGAATGTGACTACTAAGACATAAATGACATTGGATAATTTTTAAAAAAAAATGATCGTACTATAAGCCTCGTCATTACAATCATTCGTTTCAAAACGTTTCTTTGGAACAACGCGTAGTTTATTTTAGATGATTCTATATTAATATATAACTCCGTCTCTCACTGATGTTTTTTTCAAATTTATTTTTTCCTCACTATATCAAATTGCATATAGAGTTCTTATTTATCTATTTTATTACATAATTTCTATGTATCAATTAATGTGAATATTCAATTTTATAATAAAAACATTGATCAATTAATTAAATTAGTAATAAGATCTTCTAAATTTAACAGTAAAACTAATGTTCACGTGTAAATAATCTCATAATTTATCGTTAAAAATGAGGAAGAAAATCGTTGGCGATTAATTACTGATTATGAGTACATGGAATAGCTTTCTTACAACTAATGTCAATTGCAATTGACGAAGAAGTTTCTTATTACACAAACAAGATTAAAGATTAAAGATTAAAAATCAGGTGAAAAAATTCCGCATTACATGTGTTGCGCACTAATTAACATGATTTAATCTCAAATTGTTAATTTGGATTCTTAAAAAGATCTCTCTTACGTTTGATAATTTGATAGTAGGAATCAGAAAAATTGAAACATATTTTCCTTAAATATAATATTGTACAATGATATTAATAATGAGATGAAAAGTTTTCCATAAAACAATATAAGAATATTGTAATTCATCTATATATAGATTTAGATAGAGATTTTTAACTGGGAGTTGTTACATAAAAATGTTTTCTTATTGTAGAATAATTATTCAATTCATTTAGCTTTCCTAGTAATATTATTTTCTTTAATCTATGTACAAAATTTCAAAGAAAGTATTTTCTGTTAAAAGAAAAGAATATAAATTGATTCTTTTGGATGAAAATCTTACCTAAAAACTATAGAGAAATATTCAACATCTGCTACATTTGTATTCATTTTCATGTTCTTCATTTCTTCGACGATAGTTAATTGTATCTCTCATACTTTTCTTCGTTGTCCAAATAACGATATTTGTAACGAAATATTTTTTTTCTTACGTTCTTTATTAGTCGTTATTTTTCTTATCCTTGATAAATCTATTCAGAAATAACTACATAAAAAGAACTAATAAATATTTTCACATTTTCAGTATTGTTATCAACAGGAATTCTGTTTAAATGTGAATATCGAAGAAGAATAATAGAAAAAACTCTTCATCTAAGATTTAATATTTTTATTGAGCTTTTCTTTTATTTGAAAATATTCTTCAAACTTCTGTCAAATATATTGATCATTCTTATCATTGATTTGTGCTCGTTCTATTTAGTTTTATACCGAAATATCGAAAAACTCGTGAGAAAATAACAGTTTTCTTTTAATAGGAATGTCAAATAGACAATAAAGACAATATACACGCGTCTTCAAACGATTAACTATCAACAATTGTTTACTATCTCTTGTCGAATAAATCAAACACTAAAAATCTTCATATTAAGTTTGTGACATTAAAATCCATGACGATAGTGGTAGATCAAATATTTCTATTGATATAATCCCTCTAGATGAACCTTATATTCAATGTCATCTATTTTCTTAAATAAACAAGAGAAATATAGAAAATATTTTGATAAATCAATTAAACGAATACAATTCTATGTTTAAATAACGACGACCATTATTTCAAACATTTAGTTAAACGAATATTTGTTAAATTTTTTTCCTGAATTATTCTTATCGAAATTATTAAAAGAGACGACACAAATGAAGAAGAGAAAAACAAACACATATAGATGATAAATATATCCTATTACTACACAGTGGATTCATATAAAAGAGTAGGTGAAGGCGTAGCTTTGGATAGACATGCACTAAACTCAAATTCAAACCCCAACGGGTTGGCAGTTTAGGTTTGAATTTGAGTTTGGGTCCAGTAGTAAGACTAACGAAGTGTTTTTATTTCTATACTTTTACTTTATCTCTTCCCGATACTAGTTGATCACATATGACTATATAACACAAAGAAGTATCGGTCAGCGTTATTAGGATCGATGGTGGGTGTAGATGTGAATGGAAAAGAAGAAGAGACATACATCCACACCCACCCGCAAAATTATGAGAAAAGATGAAAAATATCAACGAATATCTTTTTTTTTCTTTTCTTTCGAGTATGAATAAATATTTCGATCGCATCGAAATACGTACTTTTTCTTACATTACAATGATTATCAGTAGTCGAAACAGAACGAAAAGAAAAGAAAATATAAAATATGATTACCTTCTAATAAATTATTCGATTGGTTTTTGTTGATATTTAATGGTTGATTCGATGAAGTTATACGAAAAACAGTTTTACCCATAACTTGACCACTATTATATCTTAATAATGCTTCTATTACTTGAGATGGTTTTTAAGTAACTGTTGGTTCAACAGCACATAATTTACGTTGAACAAATAAATCAAATGCTTCTTCAAGCATAATATGAATAAAAGGTTATATAGTCCTCCCTATTAAGTTTAATGTACTGTCAGGACCCATGAGGTCGCCAGTTATCGCAAATAAATAAATAAATAAAAGGTTATATATGATCAACAAGTCCAGCGAAATCAGTCTACCATATTTGATGGTAATAATTCTTTTTCTCTATCTTCTTCAATTCATGTTAATTCAGAAAGAAAATGTGATTGTGGTTCACAAAGACGAAATGATTTTTGATCAGCACTCGTTTAGGAATAATAGAAATTTGTTCTAATTTAGATTTCTCTTCTTCATCATCATCAACATATTTTTGTAACATTTCATAATGCCATGTTAAATGTTGAACTTGATTTTGATTTGTATGATCAAGACGAAGAACAACTTCAGAAGTATTAGTTGAATATCTTGAATTAATCATATATTCTATTAAAGTATGAATAAATGTTGATTGATTATTATTATTTAATGATGTTTGAAGATCAATAAGTTTTAATCGATTTCATTCATATTCAGTTATTAAACTTCGTACAAGACCAATAAATGGTGATGCAATTATATTAAGATTAGAATCAACATTAAATTGAGCAGGATCTGTATGAACATATACAAATGGATGAAAATGTGGTAATGATTTTTGAATTATTTGAAGAATACGTGATAATATTCCATATATACGTTCTTCATTTTGTTTAAATGCTAAATCATCATTATTTTCATTCAATGATATTTGATCAATTTGCCATACAAAGATAATTGATATTTATTTATAAGTTGTTAATAAAACTGGTATTGCAGAACAAATAATATCTAAAGTTGAATTATGAATATGAAATATTTTTTATGATTTTGATCATCTTTAGTAAATATTAACCATATTTGATTTATTCGTTAATCAAGTCTTTGTAATACTTCGTTAGATATTATTTTTTGCCAAATAATAAATGTAATTTCATATTAATTCAGTAATATTAAATCCTTGAATTTGTTTTAATAATCTTGTTCATTGTTGAACATTAATTAATGCATGACAGTTATTATCAACATTAACAAATGACCACCATTAATCAATAAAACCAAAAATAAGATCATTGTAAATATTGACAAATCGAATGAAGAATTTGTTCAATTTCATCATCATCAGAAAATATATCTAATTCATTTTTTTTTCACTAAGAGTATCATTTAAATGTAAACCATATTTATTTAATATTATTAAAATGGTTTTAAACGAGGAAAACGTACAATTAATTGAATAAAATGAAGTTGTGTCGAATGCCATATTACTCCGTCATTTAAAGTTGAAGTAAGAGAATGACATGCATTTAATAACGGATGATGTACTTGATTTAAATCAAGATCTTTGATTGTCATTTAAGCATAATAAGCAGCCAATTCATTAAATGGTTCTATTGATTCAATTAAATCATGATTACTATTGGAATTAAGTTGATTATTAAGAATAATTTGTCGGTGATGGAAGTAAATATGATATATCTTTTATTATTGGTGAATCAGTCCATACTCTTTTCATGCAATAATCTTTTATAATTGTATCTAAATATGTTTTATGATCAGTATTAGGTAAATCAGTTGTCAGATTTAATTTATCATAAATCGTTTTTTCCATTGACCATCGATCAAATTGTACACCTTGAACTTGTTGAATAACAATACTTTCGAATGTAAATACTGGTTCTTCTATTTTATTATCCATTGAAAACATCTATAAATCAAGACTATATGTTCCTTCTTGACCAATACCACATATATTATCATGATAAATACCATGTACTTCAATATTTGTTGATTGATTTATTTTTGCTTTTATTTTACTTGAATAAATAAATTTTTAAATACGTAGTGGAAGAAATGTTATTTCAACACCTGGTAATAGAACTAGATATGGATGAAGTAAATAATAAGATGAACAATTATTATCATCATTCGATAATTGACATATAACTGTAGTTGAAGTACCACGTATTGTTTTGATTTTTTGAAAACTAGATCCATATCGATAAGCACTTGTTATATCTTCTGTTGTCCATGTATTAGGTATTGTTAATGATTTTTGTTGTATAGAATCAATTTCAATTTTACCTTGTGCATGTAAAATAAATTCATTTAATGAATATTTATTAAGATTATCTTGATTACAAAATATAATATACCATTCACGCAATGGCATACTTATTTGTGTAAATACTTCAACTAATTCATGTTCATTTAAAATAAGTACTTTAACAAATTTAACATCTTCAAAAATAATTGTTGGTTGTTTTTGTTGTTGATCATCTTCTTTTGATTAAAGTAATTGTTGACAAGTAGCTGTTGCAAGTTCAAGATAATCAACAACCGGGAAAAAATTACATTATGAATTTTATGATCTTTTAAAAAAGAATGTTGTGGTAAATTAATATTAATAAGACTTTTTCATGTTGCACTTGTTCGATCATTTAATTGACGAATACCAAGTAATGGATGAGTAGGTATACGATTAGCTAAACGTTGTATAGATGGATCTTTTGATTCATACCAACATGAACTAAGATGAAATTTATATAATGGAAAATCATCGAAATATTCTTCATGATTTTTCATAGGTAAAATTTGACGAGTATGAAAATATTGTTGCCATACTTGAGATGATGTTGTAAGTTGTAATAAACTAGGAAGTAATGTTATTTATTCATTTTCTTTTCGTTTTAATGTTGGAAGAATAAGTGGTGATGATTGTTCTTGGTTTGTTAATTCATAACATTCACGAATTGATTTTACTAAAACTAGATGTGGTGAAATTTCAATAAAAACATTTGCTATTTCATTTTTTATAATTGATGTTATAGTATCATAAAATCTTACAGTTTGTCTTACATTTGACTATCAACTGGTATATTATCATTCATTTTATCACCAATAATACTTGAATAAAGTTTTGGTTTTGCACATATCGAATTAAATATTTGTTTTTGATCTTTTATTGAATATCCACGAATATATTTCAATGTGAAAAATGAAATAGATTTTCAATACAAACACATGCTTCAAATACATTTGGATAAGCGATTGGAAGTATTTGTTGTATTTCATCACCACTTATTGTTACTAGACGAGGACTATTAACAATAGTAATACAAGCCAAATGTTCAATAACTTTAAGGAGTTTATTTTCTACTTCTTCTTCACTCATTGAAACAGCTAACATACGAACAGCTTCTTCTAAACTTAAACGACCAGCAATAAAAGCAGCTGCTTGATCACCAGCACTATGTGATATAATTGATGATGGATAAATATTCTATGAAACAAGTAAAACTGCTAATACAACTTGTATAGTAAATAATGTTGGTTGTGCAATATTTGTATCATTAATACGTGATTCTTGTTCATTTTTCTTTTCAATTAGTTCCTCTAAGAATCTCCATTCACCATTATTAATTTTCATCGTTTCTTCATCAATTAAATTAATCCATTTATTAAATAAAGGTTCACTTTCATATAATTATCCACTCATAGCCCACCATTGTTGACTTTGTCTACTAAAAACAAAACATATTTTTCGTGATAATAATTTTATTGGATGTTATATGATTGAAAGACCTGGTGATGTTTGTTCAGTAAGAAAAGCATTGATTTATTGTTGTAATTGTTAATGACTGAGAAAAACAAAGATTGCTAAATGTGTATAACTAATAGTTCTTTTGAGTAGAAGTTGTTGAGATATACGTTCAAGAAAAGCTTGATGATCATCATTATCTATATCATTAATTGATCGTTAAGAGATTGACGACTTTTTGCTGAATAAGAAGAAATAAATTATTTAATGAATGAAAAGAAAAAATAACTTACTTGAAAAAATAAAAATAAAATATTGTTTGCTTTTAATATGATTTTCATCAATATAACCATTTTCAATTGATGTTTTATTTGGTTAACATTCTTCAATGATAGCATGTGTCGTTGTACCACCCATTCCAAATGAATTAATACCTATAGCTATTTTTTCATTATTTGGAAGAGATGGAGATAGTATAAAATTTTGAACAATATGTAGATTATATTTTTGCGCATCTATTTTTGAATTAAGTGAAGTAAATTGCATATTTTCTGTAATATCACGATAATACATACACATAGCAACTTTAATAAGTGATGCAACACCAGCTGCACCTTCTGTATGTCCTAAATTACTTTTAATGGAACCTAATAATAATGGTGGATCAAGATTTGATCGATTAAAAAATCGACCTAAACAATTAGCTTCAATTGGATCACCAGCTGGTGTACCTGTACCATGTGCTTCAACAAATAAGATTTTTCGAGTATCAAAATTATTTCTTGAATAAATATTTGCTAATAAACGTCCTTGTCCGGCAGCTGATGGAACGACAAACTTTAGTTTATCTTCGTTTCCATCATGGCCACTAAGTACATCACGAATAACACAATATATACGATCTCCATCATGTTCAGCATCACTTAATCGTTTTAATAATAAAAGACCAAGACCATCGCCTAGACAATTTAGATTTAATTTCAAATAAAAACTAATCAATTGAAATTTTTACCTTTAGCATAACCATTAGCATCAGCACTAAATGATCGACTTCTTCCACCAGGTGATTGTGTACCAATAAATGAATGTTGTAGAAAACTTTTTGGTGTAAGAATCCATTAACACCACCACATACAGCCATATCGGCTTCATTTGTACGAAGACATTGTATAGCCATATGTAAAGCTTCTAAATATGATGAACAAGTAACATATAATGATACATTTGGACCTTGTAAATTAAAATGATATGATAAATATGCTGATGTATTATATAATAATGCATTTGGACAATGAAATCTTGATCGATGTTCAGGTCTCATACGAATTGTTGTAATTGCATGATCTGTTGAAAATTGTCCAATATGTGATAATGTTTTTGTGCCATTGATTTTTTCAACAGTTGATCCAGCATCATCAAGTAAATGAACAAATTTTACCATGAGTAATAGATGGCATAGATCAACACTGCCTGCTTCAAACATATTCCATTGTTGATTTGACATAAAAATAACCAGCACGATGAAGTTTTTGACGAAATTGTCCATTATTATCCGTATTAAGCATATGAGCAGTAAATGATTCAAGATCAAATCTATCAATTGGTTTTGTACTACCAACATCATGACTTTCTTTTAATACATGCCATAAATCATTTGCATAATGAATATCACCTGCGAATTCACATGCTATACCTATAACAGCTATTGGTTCTAATGATGTACTATTATTATTTATAGTTGCCATTAGTATTCTTGATTAAATTTTTTTTGTGGATTAAAAGAATAGACTTTTATATCTAAAATAAAAATGATAATTTTTCAGATCAGTCAAAATTTTAGGTGAGCTTTTAACTTTAATTTCCTGTAATAAAGTTAAATTATTAAGTTTTTTATTTAACATTTAATAGTTTGTGTTAATAAAAAAACGAACGAATGGATGTGAGTATGGATGTGATTATTCGGTTTTGATTTAAATCTACACTCTCAAGTATTCAAAGGCATATATTTAAATATCAGCATACACCTAAACAAAAACCACCTCATTCTATGCAACAAAAAAAGCGTGTTGTATTCAAATTTGAGAATACTATACTTTTGAATCTAAAACTATTTTTGTTTATGAACTAATAAACAAAAATGAGATATTAATATAAACTAGAACAATATAGTACTGTTCATAGTAAGCAAAAAACTATAGTGAGTATACTTACGTGTAGTTTGTTATTTCAAGTCAAAGTTTAATTTCAGATGGTAGATATATTTGTTGTTGCTAAATGCTTCAGGCTAATATGACCTTCGAAGAATAAATGTACTCAATAAATAAAATAAAAAAAAACTACTCCGATTCAATTCATAATCATTGTTGAATTCTTCATATCAACCTAACCTTCAATATGTAATAAATATATTCGATAAAAAAAACAATGAGAAATACCCAGATTCAGTTTACAATAGCGTCCATTTTTACCATAGTATCCATTGCTGGGTTTCGTTGGATTAAGCTGACCTTCCATGAATAATAATGTATTCGATTAATAAAATCAAGAATAGTAATAAAAAAAGATATCCAGATCTATTTCATTATACGATGTGTTAATTTTCCATAATACTTATTGTTGAATTCTTTTTATTAACTGCTCTTTGATATTGCTGTATCATTTAGAAGATGATGACCTTGAATCAACAAAAAAATATGCTAAATACGTGTAATATATATCAATTAAAATAATACTGTTCATTTTCACTATAATTACCATGACTTTAGTTTTTAGAATATTGTGATTCTGTATGAAGAAGTAGATACTAAATACGTAAAAGAGATGAAAAATAAAGAATAAAACGATGTGTTACTTAACATTCATCGTTTGTACTGCACATACCTAGAGTGTTTTTTACCTTAGATAAATAGAAATAAAACGTTAACTTGATACATTGTATAGCATCTTGTTATTTAGTTGTAGCAACGAATACTGAACTGTTCACAGTGAGATGAATTTACATAAACTTCGGATGATCGAGGAAATTACATGAATAAGAAATAAAAGAGTATCTTGAGTTGTTGTTATATTGCTTGCATTTAGCAATGTGGAGCATAGAGAATCAAAATGTTGATGAATATTTGGTGACTGAAACAGATAATATCTTATTGTATTATTTGATTGAATGAATGAAAGAGTGTATAAGAGAATACGAAAAATAAATCTTTTTTTGTTATATACGACCTGCTTCAGTCAACCATAGCTTGTATGAGTAATATTAACATACGATTGAAGAGTATGAGAACGACATATCTGTGCTTAATGTTATATGAAAAGAAAAGCACATGTAGATATACAAAAAGGTGTATTGTAGAAAAAACAGTATAGGATAAATATGAATTAAGAATATCGATAGAAAAATATTTAAGATAAATTGAGTTGTGTTATTTACATTAATTTAAATAGTTATATCATTCCAGTATTAACTGATAATATTGTCCAGTTTATACTATGTTTTTTTTTGACGATAAAATATATAATTATTTATTTAAAAATGTGTAGTTTTATTAAAGAACAAATTTTTCTTTTGGGTATGAAACGTCTATGCTATTCTATTAAAAATTAATTAATAGCATCATTTAACATGAAAACAATCAATGTAAAAGTAATACTTAATCTGATTAAAGAGTATATAGTGTAGTTTTTCAATTAAGATACTCAAGGTATCATTTTTTTGCGAGATCTTATAAATTTTTCGCGTTGAAATTTGTTTCGATTATATTATATGGTGAACATAGAACCAAATGCTTTTATAATCCTGTTAAAATCGATTTTATATACAAGATCATTATAAATTTCGATATTTAAACAAACTATCATTATTATGAAGTAACAAGCGTATATATCCTACCAATCTCTTATGTAATATAACAAAAAAAAATATGTTTGAATTACTATATAATCGTAAGAATTGACGTTTTACTTTCAAATATATAAAAGTCAATTTGAACTTTTTCATATATATATATATTTTTTTAAGTATCACCGAGGTCAACAAATTTCTTTATTGCACATTGAAGAATATTTCTTTTCGTTCTTGTTCATTGACAATGAATATAAATTAGAGAGACAAAGGAGTGATAGTATAAAAAAAAAAAAAAAAAGAAAATCCAATAGAATAGGTGAATAATGAAATCAAGATACAAACGAAATATTATTCTCCATCGATCATTATTTTATCTTGTCACATACTATATATCCTTGCAATTATATTCGAAGGACCAATTACACAAATAAAAAAGCAATAATAAATAACAAAAAATGTATCCGAATAATACAAGGCAAATAAAGAAAGAATAATATTTATGTCATTGTATTATTGACCAGAAAGAAAAGAATATAACAAGTATTACCTTGTAGAATATCATCTCAATACATTAAGTACATCTTTTTTTTTGTTATTTTCATATTATACCATACTTAGTTGAAGATGAAATTTGTATCGATATTAAACTATAATCGAAGTATAATAAGAAAAAAATATTTATTTTAATTATAAATATAATCTATAACTGATTTTTCTATCACAGTAGAAAAATATAGTTTTTTTTACTGTAATTTTAGTTTTCCGGTTTGAGTTCTTCTACAAATAAAATAGAATAAAGAGAAAAAAATTGACTTGAGTTATAAAGGTAAATTAAAATAAGATTATTGTATTACTGTGGAAAAAAAACTAGAATAGAATTACTATTTGAATTATTGTATTTTATGTAAGAATTGTTCTCAAACAATAGTATGATAGATTTAAAAAATATTTTGTTTACTTTATAGTTATATTTTAGATTAATATTGTCCTACAACTATAGCAAAAATCGAAACAAATCTTTGACTTTTTTGCTTTAATCTTTTAAGTTATTCTCAAAATAAATTTATTCAGTTGAATCTTTGTTTGTATTTATATTAAAATTATCCGATTATAATTATTTTTATGAAACGATTAAAAAAATTATTATTTATTTATTGATGATCAATAAAAATATATCACAGATATTTATTTAAAATAATATAATAGTACTATATGACGAGTCATTATAGATATTTTAGTAGAAGTTTTTTTCATCTTAGTTCATGTCTACACATCACTTTGAAATTTGTCTTATGTAGTACTGATAACCTTTTGATAAACAAACAAATTATATATTTTTATTTATTTTATTCTATATATCTTGTCCTATTAGTTTGAAAATAATTTTTGCAGTTTGTATGGTTAATTAATCACCATTCTATAAATCAGATATATAAAACTAATCAAGTTTAAGAAATTTAAATAAAGTATTATTTTCAGTTGGCATTTATCATATATGATTATATGTAATTCTAACTAATTGAAATCTCAAACTTTAGAGTATTTAAATAATTACGAATTCATTGGATTTGATATGTTAAGACTTGTTTGTAATCATTTAAATAAAAAAACTCTCCAACTAGAGTTTGATTTACAAAGAAAATAACAATAAACTCTGAATCAAAATTTTATCGTATATAACTACTCAGTGATCAACAGGGCTAACATGAAATATTAATCATAAATATCTTTTGAATAGAAGCAATAATTGAACATGACGATATATTTTTAGAGCGATATATAATTGATCGGTACACTTCATTAATTTTTTACATATACGCATGTATTCTGTTCTCTTAACTCATTTCTTTGTCTTTTCTGAACAACTTATCCGCCTTGATCTTTGAATTGATCGCTATATCAGAGTATATCTTAATTGGAATAGATCACGTTAAATATATGAATTTATTATCAAGAACGTATGTCTCAACCGAGATAATTTAGATGATATACATACAGATCCAAACTCAACATAACTTGATTTAGTGAATTTAAAATATTAAATAATAGTTCATTCAATATATTTATTCTCTTTTTTCAATCTAGTATAAAAGATTAATAAATATTAGATCTACGAAAACGAGATTTTATTTGTATCCCTTACGGATTATTTCGTTGAAAAGATATAAAAAAAAGTAATTGCTTGCTTACTTACACTAGTCAGTTTTTTTCATTTTGTTACATTAGCACACTATTAATAGAAGGTAAGGTTTTATTTTCTATAGACAACGTGCTAGTGTAACAGAACGAAAAGAAAAGAGAAAAATCACGTTATTTTGTGTTGATAATAAGTTTATATATAGCTTAAAAGTTTTACTCTTACTTTGAAATAAAATAAAATAAAATAATCGAGGAAAAAGTATACTTTACAATTAGTTCGTTATATTATATCTAGTTGGATAATGTAGAAATTAAACAAATATATATATTTAATTAAAAGATCACCTAATTTATCTGCAGATTGTTCATATATTGAAATGTTATTCAATCCAAAGTTTATATGAGATTCTACTAGTTTTTCATGTACTTTAATCAACAAACGGACAGACGATTATTCTATCCGTTAGTTGATGTATAGGTGAAAAAGAAAAAAAATATTATAGATTGTAGTGCATAATGGTATAAATATGAACAAACACGCATAAATATAGATAATTATCAAAAATTTCAACAAAAGTAATTCTATATGTTTTACATTGACTTGTTCTTTTTTATGAAAAACTCTTTGATAATAATCAATGACGCTAATTAACATTTTGAAATAGAAAATAAAATTGATGAAATATTGTAACAAAGAATAAAATTTATAGATTATTTTCTTCTTATTCGAATATTTTATTGTGATCACAATGATGAACGGATCGGGTAGTATTACCACTACCCTCGATATATTACTGTATTATCCATTTGGGTTCATATCACACAACGTCATGTATTATATATAAGAACAAAGGCGAGAGAACGGAAAGAATAAAATATAGATTAATTTTGTGTATGAATATACTATTTATATTGAGATGAAGAATATTTCTCAATAATTAATAACTTTTTTATAGTAGAAAACGAAAGTAATTTGATTTTTTTGTTATTTAACAAGAAGAATTGCTCAATTGGGTAATAATCAATTCTATAAAAATCCAAATGTTTTGCCTATTTGACACAATTAAAATCTTATGAATATTTCTATGTAAGTGTCATTTTAATCGATTATTGTAAAGATTGATAAGTTACAGTCTATTATTAATAACTGAATATGAAAAGAATTTTTGTGAATAAGGCAATGAAAAAGAAAACAGGTTGAATTTAATGATCCATAAATGAATAATCTTAGAAAGATTTGATCGATACTGTTTTGTTATACTATTATAAAATTCGAATAGAATATATACTTTATTAAATATAGGAGAAAGATTTTTTTAAATAATTTAATCGATTTGAATGAAAGTTAAGATGGTTTTCTTAATCTAGACTATTTAATTGAAAGATAATTGTATGATGAAATAAAAAATAAATCGCTTTGATTTTATTGTTTTGAAATCAAGATATCTTATTCAACTGATGCCCATCCAACAAGTTTTGCTGTTGTAGTATATGTAGTTGTATCAAAAAACTTCCAAATCATACAAAATGTTGGTGTTTGTATCCAAACAACTTCATATAAATAAAGATAGGTTACCCAAGGAATAGTTGTTAATTCCGAAATAAGACAAATAATAAGAATAATAATTATAACATGATTATGTAAACCACGATGAAGATTTGAATCAAAAAGAAAATGATAAAGAACGAAAAGACAACAAATAAATGATAAAATATTTGAAACGAGAAAAATCCAAAATCGAACAATTTGGGGTATAGCAATACCACCATCGAATACGAATTTAACGGTATTACTTGAACTAATATTTGATATTGACATTCTTCAAAGTATAAAATGTTAGAATGAATGATGCACTGAAAGATCCTTTTGAGTGAATATGAAAGGAAGATAAAGTAATAATGATACAATTAATAAAGGAAGTGTTGAAAACGAGTGTAAAATATATATTAAAGATGAGATAGATACATTAGTTTGAAGAAAAATTTGATCTAATAATTTTTTCACATTTTTCTCAAAGAATCCATTCATTTCCAGTGCTTTGAATATGATCGGATATCCTATGGGGAATACTATATACTGGTATAATTTCACATAATTTGCATTGACCTTTAGCAGTAAAACGACAAATATAAGTGCTAGAGTTGAAAGCTCCAAAAACAATTACACCTTTTTCAGAATTTAATTCTCTATTTTCTTCACTTTCTCATAAACCAGGACTATTCAGAAACAGCTCAATACATTTTTCTCGATGGAATTAACTATTTGAACAATCACTCTTGGTTTATTTCGTGTTTTCAATATCATGCAGAAAATTCGATACAACCTTATAGTTATTAAAATCGGAAATATAAATTCATTGCATGATGGTAATATCATCATGTAATTGTTTTTGAAACTTCCGACTGCAGCACTTATATTTGTCGTTTTCTACTAAAAGTCAATGAAAACTATATCAAATTATATCAGTATATAATCTTTTACTTAGGTTATCTGATGATCATCAAATCACTAGAAATGCATCGATTCTGTGAGAAAGATGAGAAAAAATTATGAGGTCAAATGTTTTTGAAAAACTACTGTATATCCATCAATTCATTCACTCATACCTATATAAATTTATCATTATTATCTTGTAAAACTAACTTTCCATAATATATCAGTTCATTTTAACTATTGTCGAAATTTTCGAATCTTTTAAAAGAATAAAAAATAGATTTTTTTCAACATTCTAATCAGTATGTGATGTAAAAGAAAGAAAACAATAGTTTTTTTTCGGTTGATATAGATAAGATGCATTAAGAATGATGAATAAAAGAATATAAGTAATTCAGATACACAAAAACTTTATTCTATTTTTTTCAATTTTGCATTGATGAAAAAATATCTTTATATAAAGTATTATGTACGATCTATTAACAATAATATATAACTTTATCGAAAATAAGAGAACGAAAGAAAAAAGAAGAGAAAAAATGTTCGATTAACTATTAGTCAGTCTTAACACACGTGTTTATCGTTCTACAGTACGAAATGGATAAAAAGAAAAACAAATTGCATCAAAGTCGTTTTATATTTTTGTTATTTAAAAATGGTTGTATGTTTTATTATAAGTTTATTAATTCCACTTTATATAGCGTATCGTTTATATCAACATTTCTTTCCATATCCTGATATTAATCCAAAGGATAAATATGTTTTAATAAGTGGATGTGATACTGGTTTTGGTCATACATTAGCTATTGAACTTGATAAACAAGGTTTTAATGTATTAGCTGGCGTTTATACGTCTAATAATATTATCACACTTCAAAATAAACTCTCACCAAAAGCAACTGTTTTTCAACTTGATATTACTAAACACGACGATATCGATAGTGCATATGAATTAATACGTAAGAAAACAAATACACTTCATGCACTTGTTAATAACGCAGGAGTTGGAATTCCTGGTTATATTGATTGGATTACATTAGAATCAATGCGTAAAACCATGGATGTTAATTTTTTTGGACATGTTGCAATGACAAAAACATTTTTACCATTATTAATTAGTAAACGTAATTCACGTGTTATTAATATTACTTCAGTAGCTGGTATTTTAGCTGCACCAAATTTATCTGCATATGCTGCTTCGAAATATGCTTTAGAATCATTCTCTGATTGTCTTCGTCGTGAAATGTACAGATGGAATTTGCGTGTTAGTATTATTGAACCAGGATTTATGAAAACACCTATTATTGAAGGAGTTAAAAAACCATTTGATAATTTTTGGAAAGAATTAACCAATGATGTTCAAGAACGATGGGGAAAAGATTATCTTAATGAAATTTATGATGGTCCAGGTAAAAATATATTTATTAAACATGCTGAAGATCCTATGAAAGTAGTACGAGCACTTCAACATGCTGTTATGAATACAAATCCACATATTCGTTATAGACCAGGTTTGCAATCAAGTTTATTCTTTTATCCACTTTCAATGTTACCTGCTTGGTTGGTTGATTTCATATTAGTTAAAACTGATACGTTAAATTTCATACCTGCAAGTATTAGTAAACAATTAAAAGATTAAGATTATCTTATTTCATTAAATATAAACATGATTTTTTTTATTTATATTAATAAACGCAAGTTTTCAAATGATCTATGATTATTCGAAAACAAAATTTTGAATTTTATCTTGTTTGATGTAATCTGGGTATTAATAATATGAGATAGGCTGAAGAGATGCATTTGAATCTTGATTGTTTGAATCAATTATTATATATGTATAAATAAACTTTGATAAAAAAATATATTCAATAATCATATGAAATTACGAATGACAACCTTAAAAAAGTGTACTTTTTCGAGAAACATGTACCACCTTTACTCCACTGTCTATATTCGGTTCGTTACTGGAGGCAAGAGGAGTAATCTTCGAGTGTACTCCCATGGGTTGTATTCCTACCAAACTTTTTCTCAAGTGAGCATTGTTCGTATGATCTATAATAGACGCTCTTGGTCGTGAACTACCAACGATTGAGTTTCGTGGTAATTTAGTCACACTAACTCGTTCAGTTCCAGATGATTCTGCTGATAAAGCATTTGAAATACTTTGTTGATTTACCTCCATATTCTTGTTTTTCTTCTCATCAGAATCATCTAATGTTGATACTTTATTTAATGGAACAACTATGACTGATAAACGAGTAATAGTTGGTGTAATCGTGTTCATTTCTAAGCAATCTGGTGACTGGATGTTTTCATGTTCATTGGTATTTCTATTTGCAATTTTAATAGGTATATTTGTTCTCATTGCGATTCTTTCATTATCTATATCTGTTGTTGATTTACCAAACTTTGTAGCAGCTGAATTGATAGGTGAACCAGTTAAAGAATGACGTGATATATTGTTGTTTGAATGTAATGTTGTATCCATAAGATAGTTTTCACTTGGTCTATTTCTACCCAGCATTTGCTCAGCAATGCGAGTCTTTCGTACTTTAGCAAATATATTTTGTGATCCAAATGGTTTCTGTACTATATCTTCATAATTTCGTTGTCGTCGTCGACGTCGTGCACCAGACCTACTATTTTATTGTTAACAGAACATGAAAAAACTTAGTTCTTTTATTCTAAAATTAATACAATTAAACTTACCATAAAAACCAATACCAATAGCAGCAACAACAGCATAAAGCCAATAGTAGAGCCAATAATGATAAACCCAAAATAAGTGGCCAATTTATTGAGTTTTCTGCATGAATGAAAAATATTATGATGTAAAAGTAACTATATACAATCAATATTAAGAGCATATGGTAGTCAGATATATGGTATACGAAGATCATAAAATTTTAACCCGCAGTATTCAAAAAAGAATATAAAGATCTGTTATAAGCCTTACTTGAAGTTGTTGTTGTTGTTGCTGTTGTCGTAGTCCTAAACATATTAAAATCATTAGAAGCACATTGAGATTTAAAAAATTAAATTAAATTAAATCGCAAATATCTTCTGGTATTCAATGAACTCTTTCTTGAACTATACTATAGGTATTGTGTGACTACTTACACTGATGTAGTAGTTGACGTCGTTGATGAGGTAGCTGTTGTTGTACTAGTACTAGTTGTAGTTGACTCTGTAGTTGTTGTTGTTGTCACACAAGTAACTGATGAATTTTGTACAGTAAATGTGACACAAAATGGACTAGATTGTACCATTTGACTAGTTTATGAGAAAAAATATCATATATTAAAATAAAATTATCAAAAAGAATATTAACCTGGTATATGCAACTGCACACATTTCTTGTAGTCCAATGTCATTTGATTGTGGTGTCCAAGTGTATGTCACATAAGATAATGATGAATTGGTCGGAGAATCTGTCAAGCCATTATCAATTATATCAGTTATACCATTAGAAATAAGATCCGTTATTGTAGCTACGCTCGTATTGCATAAATTTGTCACATATAGATTAAAACTCATATTAACACCAACTTGTACTTGGAGACAACTGATATCAGAAGTAATAATAGGCGCTTTTGAACATGTTGGTTGTGGCAAGACATAAATTAAAAATTGAACTGGTACAGAACTCATTGCTACAGTGCTTGTGTCATTGATAAAATCTTCAACCTAAAACAAACAGAAAGAAATCTTTGAACAATATATACATTTAAATGAATTAATCTCTGATTACCTGAACAGCAACAGCATACCAAGTATTAGGTATTAGACCAGTAAATGTGATAGTACAATTCGATAAAGTTGTACCATTAGGGACACTACCTGGATAGCAAATACCACCACATTCGTCAATTGCTTGTTGATGGGGATATAATGATGTTGACTTAAGTGTACCAGGAGTATCAACGGTGGTTGTGTAATTCGTAGGTATACCAGTTGTTGTAATAACGTATTCACAACATGCATCAGTACATTTCGGATGTCCACAAGTAGTTCCTAAACATTGTGAATTAGTACATTTGTCACCACTTGTGCATCCACTGGCACAACTTCTCTTTTTCCTAACATGAATAATTTCTTTATTTTCAGCTACGCCTTCGTTAAAGTATCCTTCTGTATCCGATCGTTTTCGTCTACGATATCCTGCAGTGTAAGTTGCCCATCGACATCGTACATCATCACCTTCGTTAATGTCCGAAACAGGAATATTTATTTGTATTGTTTCATTTACAATAGCATATTGTGGAGAAACAACACTAGCTACTGGCGGAGTATTAATAAAACCATCTGGTCGCATGCGTAAATCAATAAAAGTAACAATTGACCATTCAAGACCACTTTCAGCAGGAGAATTTAATGCTACCCATGCACTTCCTACATTTGCCAGATAGAAATGTGCACCTGAATCAAGTGTCATATTATGTGATCGTTCACTAGTCATTATACGAAGAGATGAAAAGACTGCAGAACAATCGGTGAGAATATCAATGGGTTTATTTCTATATCCACCATCAGACGAACAGTCAACAACACAAGTCAAATTCCAATTTTGAGTACTTCGACCGCTGGTTGTTATAGGTACATCATTTGCACAAGCTATTGTTGGATAAGCCCATGCATAAGATTGTGTAATAGTAATATTAACTGAACTCGAATTATCGTAAGGATCAATCGGAGCCCATGTAATAGTACCTCCATTGAAATGTACTCCATGAACAACAACAATAAAATTGATAAATAATATAAATAAAGGTAAAATCATTATTGTATTATCATTGATTTCATTAAATAGATATCTAAAAATGAAAATAATTCTAAAATATTCATTTAGATAAAAATAACAACACTCGAAATTCACATCAAAAAAAATGAAAAGTGTATTCAATCTGCTTTAACAAAGATTTTCTAGAATGCAAATCAATAATCATATCTAGTGATAGAACTTAATTATAACATATAAGCAAGAATGTCGTCGTTAAATACTTGGAAGAGTATATTCAACTTTATAATAATATAACGTCTTTCTCGATACTTACATATGTACTTGTGTTGCCGATCATTTTTATGACACAAAGTTCGAAGGATTCTTTCTATTTAAAATCTATATTTTCTCTGATTGAAAATATTTCGTTATGAAGAAATAAATAAAATATGATTAATTCAGTTTTCTATATTTGATTGAAACTCTGTATGCATCTTGTATGTCGTCGTTGTTTTTTCATCTCATGATTGATTATATTATAACTCATACGATTATTCTATTCTTTACGAGCTTAATCCTAGGATACGTCATCAGACGAAAATTTTTTTCATTATTGTAAAAAAAACAAAAGAATGCAACTGTACTGATTCCTTTTGAATTTACAAAAGCAATTCGTATATTGATTTATATTAGCACGATCATGACATAATTGAGCTTCTTTTGGTAAACTATGTAACGAGCTTAATGTAGATAAGTAATGTTAAAAACTGAAGGTTGCTCTTATTTAATGTACTTTTATTTGAATACGTATAGAAAAATAAAATCAAACGAGAATAAGTTCAGTACTGTGAAACATCTTAATGAAATATATGACGATTACTTGTTTGTTGCAATATATTTTGGAATTAATTTAATTTATGTTATAATACATAGTAAAATAAACATGAACTTTGTTAATAATTGAGATTCAACTAAAAAAAACAACTGTGCAGATTTATTTAGATTTGTTGCATTTCAATGACAAACAAAAGATGAAAAATTTCTACAACAAATAAAGACTTATATTGGTTTTGATCGTAATTGTAATCATTACATGATTAAGTTTTTACTTTTTCTATCACAGAGATTTACATAAATATATTTTACGATAACTTCTGTTAGTTCAGAAAAAAAATGCTGAAATATATTCATGTTAAATACTATTGCATTTGAGAAGTATTTCAACTAAAACTAGAATTATTGATGTATGCTCAACAATTAATCATATTTTTTTCTGCTTGAAAACGAGATATAATATTGAAAGGGCGAGGATGTGTGAGGATGAGTAAGGAAAATAATGATACCCACACCTATACTCACACTCCCACCGCCACCCACACCCACTCACACCCACACCCTCGAAATTCAGTAAACATTTGTTTTTTATTAAGTTGTAGAGAACACTTAGTAAGATGATATGAATTCAATGTTTCACATTATCTTAGTTAATAAAATTTTGAAAATTTGAAAATTTTGGTAGATAAATTTTGAAAATTTGTACCAATTTGATATTTGTTACTCCTTGGTTTGATTCTCCAGGTCGTTTTGTGTTGGCTTATCAGCATTGCCAATTCGAGTAATCAATCCCTGTGCGATGCGTAAATCTACGAAAAGTCAAATATTTAAAATATACAAATAAAAAATTTGTGTAATGTCGAATATTCATCGTATAAGAAATAAACTTCTGTCAGAATATTGTATCTTTCTCGGAGAATAAACGGTATACTGACTGATTAACTGACTTTTTCAGTAAGTCAGCATTTTGATTTGATTCAAAAACCAAACGATGTTTTGACCTTGACTTAAATTGGTTTAATGACTTATTTTATAAGCTAATCGAAATATATGAACAGTTAGCTCATCCTTTAGTACACCCATACCCACACCCTCAAATACAGATGAAGTGGATTACAAGTTATGCTCCTATCAGAATAATATAGCGCTGAATAGTCTGTTTTGTAATCTTAACAGATAATATTTACTGTGCTATACTATATTGTACTATAGGTGACATTATGAAATCTATCGAATAGCTATTGAAATTTTTTTAAAGGGAAAAATGCGGTAGTTTTCACTCCGATGTAAAAAAATCATTAGAGAATTGAATCAAGCAAAAACTTATATGTTTCATCATGCTGACTGAAAGAATATAAAAACAAAACATTTACATTTCTAAGTTTCTCAGTAAATATTTAATTTACTATTTATATAACGAATTTTCAAATAACATAAACATCTCAAAGAAATTCTGTAAACAAAACTCACCTTCAGCGTTTTCATCATGTAATAATTTTGTTGCTTCTTCTTGTATCTGATCAAGATGTCTTGTAATAAGTATTTCTTCAATTTTTGGCATTAACTTTTGTAAAGTTGTTGGCTCTAAATAATCTTTTACACGTTTTTCTTCTTGATCAAGACGTTCACTAACCTAGGAAGAAATTTATTTCATATAATTGAGGAAAAGGAAAAATTCTAATATTACTTTTTTTATATAATCATTAATAGAATTCTTCTCGAGATAATCTGTTGACTCAAGTTGGTAGTATTCTTCAGTTTCTTTAATGAATTGCTTTTCAAAATATTCTATGTATATTGAAAGCGAAGGTGTTATTGTTGTTTGATGATCTTTATTTTTTCTTTCATGTTCAGTCATAGTAGCCAACGCTCAATTTTCAAAATACTATAATATATACATATTTTCTAAATTTGTATACCATAGCTTTGCAAAACTTGATGAATTAAAGATGTTTCAACTTTTTCTCCATTACGTTCTTTTTTAATTAATTTCAGACAAGTTTGCGTTAATAATTGAGTAGTTTCTTTAAAAAATATATCTTGCCATATTTTCATTGACATCTATATGATATATTTATTAAAGAATGAATCAAAGATACGATCAATTCCAAAAAAACATACTGTATAAATATCATAGATACCAGGAATATTTTTTTGGCGCTGCCAGGTTATCCAATTATTATTGAAAGAAGTAAATAATCTGTTGATGACTGGACATACAAATTGATATGTATCCCAGGTTTTAACATAAAATTGAAGAAAATCTTCATCTATTAAATTGTTTCCATTCTAAAACGAACAATCAATTTAATTATTAAGCATTCATTAGATTGTTCAAGTATATATCTATATTTGTTTATACTCACTGCATATATTGTGGTAAGATATTCTTTGAGAAAATTCTTCAAATAAAAATATAATTCACCACCAGGAATAATTGTATCAACGTCTCTATCATTTGCTGGATTTGATCTATATAGCGATGCTATGAACAATCTATTACGTTCTGGACTCTCCATATACTTAAAAATATCACTGAAATATAAGTTAGAAAAAATTTCATTATACTATACATTCATTTAAGTATTAAAACATACTTATAAAGTTTCATCATTTTCTCTTCCGATGGCAGTTTAGATTCGAACATCTGCCGCATTGTATCGGATAAATCTGTCCATACTTGATTTAGGAGAGTATTGGTTTCTGACATGTTTTGCTACTTTATCGTCTAAATGTAAATAGAAAAGAAAAAGAATACAAGAATATAAAAACATGTAAAAAGCAAGTAAAATTTTGAAACAACTGACTGTCATAAACGAGAGTCAGCATTAGACGCAAATATATAATAATAAAATCGATGAAAAAAACCAAGTACAAATATTTACAAAATACTTTGACTTATTATTATAAAGCTCATAAAAAAATTCATTACGATACTCTGACTGAAATCGTGAAAGATCTGCAATCAGAAATTTTTATTTGCAATAGCCATGAAAACTTTCAAACGATAAAAACAAGCATGCTTGCCAACATACCGTCGTGTAATTTTTTTGTTTTTTGTGAAGTCAAAATATGAAAGTAGAAAAAAGGGTAAAATTTTCATGATTCACGCCTGTCGCATAGTAGCCTCTACTAAGGGAACAAAGTACGCCTTGAATATAGTATTCATTCAAGATTATTTCATCTGAATTATACAACATATAGATAATATTTTTTAAGTACTCGGCCTGAACGAGCATAACATAATGACGTTTTGGCCACGGGTAGCCAACATTTCTTAGCAATCAGGTTACCTTGGAGATTCGTTCTTTCGCCGAAAAGTATATGTCTGACTCCCAAAAATCTCTTACAAAATGAATTCGCTTGGATAAGTCTCTTAAAAATTATATGAAAAATGGATGTATTTATCAAAGTAAGCATGCGATTTGTGTACACGGTGAAAATTTATCTAGTTATGTTCATTCAGAAAATTTTTGCAGACAATTCATTAAGTACAAACACTGTATAATTCAATATTGGGTTATGTTTTTTGATTTTCTGTTGTTAAGCAATTATAACAGATACTCTGGTTTTGAGAATATTGTATTGAGTCCTTCTCAATATTCTTTATAGATCAAGTATAACTCTGTTTTACTCCTTTTCTCGTTTGTACATAGACTAATAAGCTGGCACTGCTAGTGACATGGTAACAGAATTAAAAAGAGTTTAAAGCTTGGTAAACTACGTAACCAGCTTAATATAGACAAGTAATGTTAAAAACTGAAGGTTTCTCTTATTTAATATACTTTTATTTGAATGCGTATAGAAAAATAAAATCAAATGAGAATAAATTCAGTACTGTGAAACATCTTACTGAAATATATGACGATTATTTGTTTGCTACAGTATATTTTCGAATTAATTTAATTTATGTTATAATACATAGTAAAATAAATATGAACTTTCTTAATAATTCATTACATGATTTACTTTTTTTATCACAGAGATTTACATAATTATATTTTACAATAACTTTTTTTAGTTCAGAAACAAAATTCTGAAATATATTTATGTTAAATACTATTGCATTTGAGAAGTATTGTTGTGTGCTTGACAATTAATCATATTTTTTTCTTGAAAACGAGATATGATATTGAAAAAAGAACAGCAAAATAATCTACCATTATTTGAAATCGGATTCAGTTTGTCTATTTAATACTATCGAAGCCTTCGAAGATAGAACCAATAAGCCATTTTTCCTAGTGTTTTCTTTTTGATTATCTATAGATAGGGGTATCACTTTAACTTTGCTTTAAAAGTTAAAGTTAAAGTATTAGCTTTAACTTTAAACTTTGAGTACTTTAACTAATAAAGTTAAAGTTAAGGTGACACCACTATCTATAGATAATTTCATAAGAGAGAAATATGTTATCATTGCATGTGTTATATTTGATAAGCATAAAAAAATACTGGATACACGTAAATAGTCTAAAGTTGAAACAGAACAAAAAAAATAAATAACTCATAAAGCATCAGTCGCTTACTAATATAAATATTCGAAAGCAAAAAATGTTTTGCTCTGTCTTCATTAAATAATCTATTTAACAAAACGTGAGTAAAAAAATAAAAAATACATGTCCTTAGTATCGAAACAAATGTCATCATCAATAACATTTAATATTCGCTTATTACATGAATATGATCATGATCAAGTTTTAGCATTATTATTAAATTCATTTTTTAAAGATGAACCAGTTGCACAATGTCTTCAATTAACTGAACCATTAGAATTTGCTAAAAATATTATTAAAGATTGTTTACAAGATCAATGTTCATCTGTTGCATTAAATACAGAAACAAATCAAATATCTGGAATTTGTCTCAATACCATTAAACGTAAAAATCAATCACAAAAAAAATTTAAATATGAAGAAAAACTTCAATTTTGTTGTCAATTTTTTGTTGATGTGCATAAAAATTTAAATGTTTTTGATAAATTAAATGCTAATACTCTACTTCATATAGAGTTTATAAGTATTGATAAAAGTGCACGTGGTCATGGGCTTGCATCACGCCTCATAGAAAAAAGTATTGAATATGCTCAAGAATTAAAAATTCCTGGTGCATTTGCAGAAGCAACAAATCTTATCTCATTAAAATGTTTTAAACAACAACAATTCAATATACTTGATGAACTTATATATATGAATTATGATTCAAAACGCTTGGCAAATCTTAATGATGAAAATAATGATCGATGTTATCTTGTTGCTCGGAAATTTTAATTAATAGAACTTTGAATACTATTTAAACAATGTAGCTATTTCTTACACTAATAAATGAAGAATCTACTTAGAATTGATTGCCATTGAATTCATCTATTTTGAAACTATTGAAATCTACTGATAAAACAAACTGAAAAAGAACATTAGTGTTTTCCAGAGGCGCCGAATCTGCCGATAAAATATAAAGTTTCTAAAATTGATACTGTTTACCTATTTCTTATATAAAATAATTCATTTTTTATCCTTCGTGTGATCAAAGTAAGAGAAGAAGAAGGGTTTACGAATAGGTAATGATCGCCGGTATCATTCATCTACACACACACGCGCAACAAAGACTATATGCAGTAATATCGTATTAGATAAAAGAATAAAACGAAAATAGTTAGCGCGTGTTGTATCATAAATAAGCAATATTTTTTAAAATTTCGAAAATATCTTATAATCGACTCGATGTTTTAATGTCATGGTTACTCAAATGATCAATTTATTATCACACAAATCAGAAGTGATATTTTGATAACATAATATAATTTATCTTATGTAAAAGGTAAAAGATGTGTTTCCATAATAACTTTTGTTAAGATAAATCTATTTATATTTGAATATTCAAAGTTTTTTAAAAAATCAAACTTCAATCAGCATAAATTAACATAGATCTATAATTAAAAGCTTAATGTATCCAGTATATAGACCAGTTCAGTAATTTGAGTCATGCTCGACAATCTATGAATGCTTCTTGTTCAATCCATATATAGGATAGTCTAAATTAGTATCAACAAGAGATAGCGATATTTGAAGCAAATTCATATTTCATCAAATGATTCGTATGCTCTTCTGTGTGCATATACAATACTTCAATATTTATTCACCATATAATATGCATCGAGATAATTGCATACGAAACATGTATAAAATTGTGCAGAACTAAAGTGTTATGTAAAAAAATGTGTTAAAAATTATTCTCAAAGTTATTGTACTTGAATCGTTCACTACACTTTAAAGTATACTCAATAGTCTATCACTTGAACTTTATTTTATTGTCCCTTATCTTGTCAAAACAAATGAAAATACAACTAACTCTTATCTCTATAAATAAGTGATTATTTTACTCCAAGGATCTAAATTCTCTTCAACTATATTTATCATTCGATACCAGATCATATCAAACTACAAAGGATTAATATATACTTATGGCAAAAAAAGATGATTTAGAAATTACAAGAAGAATCATACGATATAGTTTGAAATAATTATCGATGATATTCAAATAATTTTAAGAAAGTAATTGTTCACAATTTCATCATGTATAAACAACAAGGACAAATAGAATTTTATTAAAACTATACCCTATAATTTCATTGAAGTTAAATACATATTCCTATTTCTCATCTTTAAAAATTATAGTCTATGATTTATTTAATCATATATAAAAAAAAACTATTCTGATTTATTTCTTTTCATTCTTTATAGTATAAAAATAACGAGGTCATTGATAAATAGCGACATCATATAAAAATTAGTCTATGAATGGTCAATAGATGAAGCAATTCATTGAAATGTATATACGATCAAGGTATCCTACAGATGATATTTTATATTACCCATAGACAATTTTATATCTATATAAATATATATCAATTGATATAATCACATATTCATGAGTCAAAATACTCTTTAAATAGCAAGGTTATCGTATTTATAACTATCATATAAGAATTGTTGTAACTTCTGACACATTCTGTATAATATATTTTTATATATTTCTTCTTGTTATTTCAATCTCTCTTCTTACATTACATTTGTTTAACATTTGGTCTCTTTGATCTTTTCTTTTATTATATTTGCAAATTGTTGTTCTATGTTTTTTTTCATTCATTATAAGAATAATGCCGAACTAGCAGCATTCATATCGCAGAATCACTTCTATATGCAAATTAAGTCAGTCATTTTGTTCTCTCTTTCTCTCTCTCTCTTTTTTCTTTGTTCCATTCGCGTACGATTATTATTTTATTTCTATAAGCAAAGTGTTTAGTTATCGATAGGTACTCATTTGTAAACTTATTTTTTGTTCTCTTTCTTTCATTTGCTCTCCTCTTCGTTCTTCTTCGTTCTTCTTTTCTTTTCATATACATACAAAGCAGGTAGAGTAAAAGAAAGACAGACGATAGTCTAGGTCAGGCATCCTTGTATACTTGACGACATAAATACACAAACGTCCAAATGTCAGCTGTGCTCATGATAGATCTCATACATAAACAAGGCCATTGTATAGAGAGAAGCAAAAAAGAAGAAGAAGAAGGAATTACGTCAGTGCATCTCTCTGTTATCATTAACGAGAAAACGACGTCAGTTATATTTACTGCTGTAGAAAGAAAGAAGAAAAAAAAGGAACTATTTCTCGCTTCTTTTTTTCCGATGTTGTTATATTTACTTGCTTATGAGACTATATCTATCCGCAATAAATAAACACCCACGCTTACCCCCAGGATATAAGTGCTATGAAGTATAAAAATATAGAGAGTAAATGAATCATTTCTAGAAAGGTTCTATGAGTAATAGGAAGCATAGATGCTTATATAAATCTCATTATATAGATTTTTTGCTTTACAGATAGTTGATCAATTACGATGACCGAACAGTTTCGGGATTGTTTTGTGGTAAGTTATTGATAAATAATATATCCATATTCCAAAAAAAAATATATATTTCAGGGTGAAAAAGGTTACGATGCTTTAAAGAAATTAATGAGAGGTGGTAATGAACTCTGTACAGATATTGCGAAATGTTGGCAAGAACGGTAAATATATATTTTTTTTACATAATGTTTGTTTTCATTGGAACACGTGTGTTTTGTTTTTTACAGTTATGATGTTGAAATTGCCTACGCTAAAGGTCTTCGCAAAAATAGTGAAGCATTTCAAAAACTTGCTGGTCGATCTAAAGGGTAAATTATATATCGTATTTAGAAAATGTATTATATTCTATTTTAATTATAGGTCTTTAGTAGAAGCATTGACAACAGTTTCTACGCAAACAAATAATGAAAGTGAAGCTCATAATTTACTTGCAAATGTTTTATTAAATAAAATATCTCTTCCAATGAAAAATCTGACTGATACGCAATCAAAAGCAAGAAAACCAGTAAATAAAAAAAATTAGAATCGATCTTGATAAATAATATATTTGTTTTTTTCTTCTGTTCTATTTAAGATTGAAGACGCATTATATGCAAAATTTAAAATATGGAAAGATAAAAAAGAAATCGATAATAAAGTAAAGAAAAATCGATAAATATTTTATTTTTATTTTAAATTTTAGTATCGTCAACGTCAATTTGATAATAGTAAAGAAATCGAAGGATTATATCTTAAAATGGATGAAATTCCTAAAGCAGGAAAAAATTCTACTAAAGAAACTAATAAAGTTAGTATATATTCAGCTAGTTTGTTTTACAATAGAACATATATTCTCATATACAGGAAAGACCATTGATCACAGCTTGTGTTTACCCTGGTGGGCGTTACAGTAACGCTACTGAAAAGGTGTGATATAAGAATAAGAACTAACTAGTAAAATCGTGTGATTAGAACAAAAAAACTTTATTCTTGATTTCTTTTCGCACAAAATTCTTATGATGATTTTATTTTATTAATTTAAAATATTAGAATTTATTTCATTCTCTCATATATAGTCGACTGGCAGTTCTAGTTACAAATATACATCAAACGTAAGCTTCTTAACTGACAAATCTCCTTCATCTATTTAATTTAATATCTAATCACTGGCAAAATGCTTTCTATTGATCTTGATTTTTATTCGAAATAATTTCATCAAAATTTTTTCTTTTTCTAAATAGATTGAAACGGCACTTCGAAAATTAGAACAAGAATTAGAAAAAACAGAAAATAAATATCATGCTGCAACTAAAGAAGTCGAAATATCAAGACAATCATGTGATGCTGAAATGTGCAAAGTAAAATTTTTTATTTCTACGAAAAAAGAAATTTTTTTAATAAATTATTCATTTGATTAGAGTTGTGATCAAATGCAAACGATGGAACTCGATCGAATTAATGAAATGGATAAATTTATTCAAACATATACCAGTGGAATAAAAGCCCTTACAGAAACGATGAATCAAGTAATTATTCAGAATTTCTCATCACATAAAAAAAACTTATTAATAGTGAATCAGATTGTATTTACATGGGATATTGTCATATTTTTTATTGAATAAGAGCAAATACTAGTCAGAAAGTAATGACCTTAAAGCTTATACAAAACGGAAATTGAATGAGTCGCTGTAGTAATATAGTTAGACTTTTTTCATGACATAAAAAGTTATTTAATTATTTATGAATGTCAAATAAATCAACTTCTACCGTGACTTAATATAAAGAATACATCAATTGACTATTTTTTATAGGTAACACAAGATTTATATTCTATTCGAGTCACACCACAAGATGATATTGTTGTTGAAGCTAAACTCAATCTTCAAGTCGTTGAAACTGAAATTCTGCTTTATGATATATATGTATGAATATAAATAACTCTTCATTTGAAAAGTTTGCGTTTTTTTTTCAAGGCACAAAATGATCATAATGCAATGAGTCAAGAACGACGAGTATTAAGTCTGATGCATTGGATGCAAATGTTAAAACAAGATATTGAAATTCAACGACGATCAAAAGATGGTTTGTGATTTATTATTTTTTTATACTTTCAGTTTTTGCTAAAATTATAATATTTCCCTGCTTATATATATAGTGGGTATAGTTTCTCCATTAAAATCTTTTGAGAGAATTTCATCCGATGGTGATCTAAATTCATCAGATGATGGAGCGATGTCTACAAAATCGTTTCATTCACAAACAGGTACCATGTCTCTCTATTGTATTTTTCTTGTCTATCAGTTGTTGTCATTTTGAAAAAAAAACAAAACATTTTAATAATATAACCCTGCTCGATTGTATTAGATGTTGTGGGTAATGCTGATAATTATCATCATCATCGAAATGGTTCATCATCTTCATCGAATGATGATGATGGTGCCATGCATCATCATAAAAAAGGAGAAAAGAAAAAACGCGAGGGTATTTTTATTTTTATTCTTCTTTATTGTTGATATAAGTTTTGTTGTTTATTGCACCCATTCTATCAAATGCTTGGGCACGATCATATGTTTTGTACTGTCTCTCTTAGTGCTTGTTCAATATTTGTTTAAATAATTGATTCATTCATTCTTCTATAATATTCATTTCTTTTTTTATTAAGGTATTGAAAATCTACATGGATTTTGTAAACAAAATCAAAAATTCTCAACAAGTGTTAATTCAAGTGAAATAATTGTTAATCGTGAATGTGTAAGAATATTTAATTTAATTTCTTTTTTGAATTTACTTTTTTTTCTATATATTTCAGGTTCGTCTATTACAATGTCTTTATGAAGGAAGTTTGTATCAAATGGAAAAAGTTTTCAATCAAATTAAACATTTACCTGAACCACAATATGAACATGCACAACGTTTTGCTAAAAGTTATACTGATAAAGTTCGTAAAATTTTCATTGAAATATTTTCAATTTTCGAAAATTATTTTATATTTTAGAATATTCCAACAACTTTACTTCGTATTCCGTTTCAACCATTAAGTCATAATACTCCATCTACTACAAGTTATCTTGCACGCTCAACGCCAATACTTGGTACACCAGTTTTGACGCATCATTCGGCACCTGCACCACCGCCGCCACCACCATATCCAGTTCATGCACAAGCACCAATTGGTTGGGCAGTTAATGATATGTCAAATGATCATTCAGGACCACCACCAGGTAAGAAAACAAATGAAATTATTTCTTTGAAAAATAACATTCAGTCAATGAGTTTATTAACTAATATTATCTATTCATTTGCTAGCTTATCCCCATCATATAATTTCCCCCAAGAAAAGTATTTGTAAGTTTTAAATAATAGCTAATCATTGCTTTTCAAAACAAATTCTCTTTTATCTTCATATATCAACACAGCTTTCCTTCTTCTTCTTGTCTTAATTTTATCAATAAAGATCTAAGGTAGTGACATATTTTGCTCTTTAAAAAAAGACATAAAAAAAATTTACACGCGCTGATTAAAATCCTAATGACATCGATAATATATAATTGCTTTTATTTTTATTTTAAATTTTTTTACAGCCTTACATTCAATGTGTAAGTTGAAATGAAACTTCTGCATGTGATTGCATTGATTTGTTTTTTCCCCACGTGCATGCTAATTATTAAATAATAATTTCTCTTACTAATACTTTTATTATGTTGTCTAGATAATCGATCAGCAGCACCTGGTCCGCCTTATCCAGTTCTTCCATCTGTTATGACAACATCAACAGATTCTCTACGACAGCAACAACCAAATAAACATGTTAAAGTTTTACATTCGTATGTTGCAGAACATGCTGATGAATTAACCATACAACCAGGTAAAATTCTATGAACATTTTTTCGTTTTGTATTTATGATTTATTTTCTAGGTGATATAATTATATTGCTCGAACGTCGTCCAGATCAATGGTGTAAAGGAAATTTACATGGAAGAGTTGGTTTATTTCCAGGCAATTTTGTACAAGATATATAAATAGAAATTTTTTATTCAATTAAGTTATTGTTTTTTTTTGCGTTGACTTTTAATGTTAGGAGAACAGTGGAGTGGTGGTGAGAACAAATCAATAAAAGACTCAACAAAAACACCGTTTCGTTTTTCATATTTACAAATATTTGTGTGTATTTATTATTATTATTTTTTGTTCATCTATTTGTGTTTAAATATACAAGAAGATATTAACTTTTGTTATACTAAAATTATGATCATTTCACAAATTCCTAAGAATAATTTTTATTTATAACAGTAACAAAAATAACTTCGTGTTTATTAGATTTCATTCATCGATAATATCACCACCATAAATACATATCATTTAACACGACATTAACTATTTTCCATGAATAATTATCAACTAATTTTTCCGATACAATAAAAGTATTTAATTTTTCAATTTCATCTTCCGATACATTTTTCAAACATAATGAAGATAAATGACCAGTATTTCTCTTTAACAATAAAAATCTTAGAATCGATTCTATACAATTTGTAAATGTATTGATCATGAGACGTTGTAATTGAGGACAAAGATTAACAAATAATTTGATTTCTTCAAAACCGCATTTAACATTAATAATTAAGTTTTTGATATTATTTCTAGTCAATATCAATTGATAAACTTCATTTTGTTGAATACATACAAGATCGTTCTCATGAATTAATATATGTTGAATTGTTAAACTTGAAAGTTTAGGTAAATAACGTAGCAGTTCAATAATCTTTTCAAGATTACATTTCGGATCATTAATTAATAAAGTTGTCAGTTGTTGTAAAGGAAGAATATATTGTAAACTATTGAAAATTTCATTTTGATTTATATTCATAGATGAAATTTTAAGTTCAGTCATATTTGGAAAATATGTTGCACAATTATCAATAACGTTTTCAAGTCGAATTTCAATAGAACGAACACAATCGATATTAGTTTTGTCATTGTAAGGACATGTTCGTTCAACTAAACCTTCTGTAAATAGTATATATTTTCTTCTAAAATAAGTAAATGCTTACATACAAGAAATAAATTAATATTCATACCTGAATGGATCGGTTGAATAAAAACAGGAAGTATAATAATATTGTGATTTTTTATCAACATTATATGCAAAATACCATTTTCGTTCAAGCCAAAATGGTGAACGAAATTGATTGATTATATGATTATATACAAAATTATTTTGATAAGTATCAATACGTATTGAATTAATATGCCAAATATCAAAGATTTGTAAACATGGCATATGTGATTCTATTAATTTTTCCCATCGATTTGCATCTAAAAAGTTTATATCAAATTTTATTGAAATATGTAAGACTTTAAGTTGATTAGAAATAGTTTCTATCCATAATTCAAAATCATCAAAAGTCATATTACCAATAAATAGAGAAATATGTGTTAAATGCTTTAAAATAGTTGAATATGGTTCTTTTGGAATTTTACAAGACCGATTGAGTTGATGAATACTCAAACGACAAAGTTGAGGAACATATGATAAAAGTGCATTAAGTTCATCAATATGTAATGGATTTTCTATCACAAGATGTTTAATTGAACTGAATTCCTTTGTTTCAATAGGTAATGGTTCAGATTGAATAGATTCTTTTAGTAATGATATTTTACAATAGTTCAATACTGGTAAACGAAATATTTGATGATAAAGTTTATTAATCTGTTGAACTTGATCAATAAGAATAATAACTAATGAAGATAAATTTGGTAAAACGGCAATATAATTGAGAAGATTTGTTAATTGAAATTCAGTTCCATGAATAATAAGTGTTTTAAGTTGAGTAAAATTTGATAAAGATGAAAATATTCTATCAACGATGAATAAATTTGATAAATGTAATGATATTATTCGATGTTGATTGGGAATAATAATATTTTTAAAATAATATTCAAATGATGATTTTGACATAGTTGAAATATTGATTTTAAGTGGAAGAATTGATTTTTCAAGTAAATTTTCATATCGTAAATTAAGATTTGAAAAAGCGTTGTATGTATCATAAAGGTCAAGATAATCGAATATTTCGTAGATAAGTTCATTGGCAAGATTTTCAAAATGAGACATGGAATATTTAGATAAACTAAAATATTAAAATAAAATATAAATTTTTTGTTGATCTTCGTCGTTGTCTTTTTGTTTGTTCCATATAATAAAAGACAGGATATCGAAAAACATATTTTATAAGCAATAATGAGTCACCTTTTTTCCCTCCGTGTAACGCACATTTTTCATATCTAGACGAAAAAGGTAATCAAACAAAAAAATACAATAATTTATTTGTAATAAATATATTACAATTCAATTAAAAACAAACGAAATGAGTATTGTTGTCTAATTAACCACTATGAAGATATGTATATTTTTTATTCAAATCGATCGACCAAAATTATTCTTTTGAGAGTATAAGTCGTAATTTTTATTTTGTAGAAAAATATCACGTGCGACAGAACGGAAAAAAAGCATACATTTGACTATAAACAGTCGTAGATTATGTTACAAGATAACAAAACTATGCCCACATTATTCTTTATGATAATTTATAGTATAGCCGAAATTAAGAGAAAAATCGTTTTTTTATCATAGTAGACATAGAAGACCTATATATTATTCAAACAGGTTAATATTTATTGTTTGTTTAAAAAATCGATTAAATACAACTTGAATTTGTTTTCAATAATGAATTCATGTGAATCGACAAATTTATTTTTAACAAATTTATTTCAACGAAAGTGAAAGTTACCTTTATTCACATAGGTAAGAGCATAGTATGATATGATAGCGGTATCTTTTATTTTAATATAGTCCTTAGTATTTGTTATAGAGAAATTTTCACCTATATAAATGTATCATAAATAAAGAATATGTCGCAAAATCTAGAATCGAAAAATTTAGAAACAAAAATCTAGAAAATAAAAATCTAGAAAAATGAGAATCTCACAAGATACCAGAAAAAGTCGAAAACTCTCAATAAATAGATTTATTTTTATTCCGCAAAAAAAGAAAAAGCAGACTAAAGCATCAAACGATAGAAGATAAAGCTGGATGTGGGTGTGTACGGGTCTACGTCTGGGTCTAGATGTTCTCTTTAGATCAACAAGGGATATGCACATCCACATCAATCCGTCACCGGTCTATTAATCAGACATACAATGTTCTTGTTTATAACCAGACTCGAGTAGTTGTTAAGGAGATGATCAAGGTACCACACATTGCTATTCGCTAATTTAATTCAGTAGTAATGGCACGGTTGATTAAAGTCATAGCGAGAGCTGAATACCAGGAAGTGGGCCTGATTTTGCTTCGTCCACATCAGTGAATTTTTCTAAATATATCGTTTCTAGAGTTTTTGTTTCTAGATTTTGCGACATCACCTAAATAAACACATTGTCACTTTTATTTACATGTACATTAAGCACACTGTGACTCGTAGATCAAAATAAGATTTCACCTCTACTATCACGTCATATTAAAACAGAATCAAATATATTCCAGTTATATCACCAAGACATTCATAGAATCAAATATGACTATGCGTGTTATCATTCAAGTCAAGTTTAGCGGAAACTTCGATAATTCATGATGATGCAGGATGCGCATATTAATAACAAATAATATTTTTCAATCTGTCAGCGAAGACAAACATTAGTCTACAATTCAAATAAGCATAATAAAAGATAAAATGATTTTACATAATTATGTATATGTTGAGGTCAAAATTGGAATTTGACCAGACAAAATTGGAATTCTATTATAGACCAGTATTCTTTTAGATAAAATTGGAGTTCTAGTTTTGACGATGTAAAATTAGAATTCCAATATATGCTAGTATTATTTTTTCCTGGACAGAATTGGAATTCAGATGAAGATAAACAAATACGATTGAAATTTAAAATATCTGAATATATGAACTATTTTTATTCAACAAAGTTTTTTTTTAAATCTTGATAAGTACTTCGCAAAACGAAGTATTTTAGTTTTATTCACCCATATTTTTGCACCCAGCACGTTTCGAATGTCATTTTGTTGAGCAAAATACTTGCATTCTAATATGTACATCTATACCATTTACCAACATGATATCGTGATTAATTTTTTTTTTATTTTACTCGTATAGAAAAACATGTCACTTTATTTGTTTATATTTGTCTGAATTCTAATTCTGTCAAAAAAATTCCTACTCTATATCGGAATTCTAATTTTGTCTGGTCAAATTCTAAATTTGACCCCAACATATACAAACGAATAATAATTTCTTATATTTTATCACCTATATCATCTCTTTGAATAAGATATTTTATCATTAATATTTCAAATGACCAGGCTAATAATATAAATTTATTACATTCACTAATCATATTGAAATATACATGATAATTGTTCGATAAACTGATAGTAAAAGACTAAGTGAATAAGAAATTTCTTACTTTTTGCTCAGAATCACTTGCAAATTTATTTATAAGTACTATTAATAAACTTCTAAATTAATTACATTTGTTCTTGATTCTGTCTCGTGACATGTACTTTAGGCTTTTATTTATTGAAAAATAATGAAGTAAAATTAGACATTCTATTTTATTAAATAAAATGTCATAAGCTGCTTTGTTAATTCCATGTCATATGTGAATTGTTTATGAGTTGAATAAACCCTTAAAAGATTCTTTAATGGATTTTCTTTTATAAAAATTAAATGACAAATTCATCAATTATGATTAGAAATTCTCATTCTATCTGATAGACTCATTTTATAATTATCTTTTCTTATGTTATTGCGAAGAAAAATTTAATATTTATATTAACATTCTTAAGAAGATTATTTTTATTGTCAGTATTTCATTCATTTTAAATCATAAACGCATATATTATAACAACTATCAATTGCGAAAAAAGAACTATGTCGTCCTCTGGCAATTTCTATATAGAACTATTAAACAATATTATTGTTTATATTTATCGATATGCAACACCTGTGATTTATATAATTGGTAATATTGGAAATTTATTAAATGCTTGGGTTTTTCTAAAAAAGTCATGGAGTAAAAATGTTTGTGTATTATATTTTAAAGTTTGCCTTTTTCTTAGTTCAGCCTATCTTAATTCCGTTATTCTTGGAAATACATTTATTATTGGTTATAATATAAATGCACATAATTCCAATATCGTATTATGTAAACTATTTTTCTATTTCACTTTTCTTATTTCTATGCTTTTAACTACTGTTCTTGTTCTTGCATCCGTTGATCGTTTATTAATTTCATCTCAAAATGTTGATACACGTTTATATAGTTCAAAGCGTTTAGCTTATTTTTCGATTAGTTGTAGTACAATTTTTTGGATGATATTCAATATTCATGCTTTTATTCGAGTAAATATTCAAGTCATCCCTCCTTCATTTGTTATTTGTTATTATGATCCTATAAAACTATATGCTGATTTTATTGTTTATTTGTCAATGACTTTTAATTGTCTTTTTTGTTTTCTAATGATTATTTTGTGTGTATTATCTGTTAAAAATGTTCGTCGTATTCGTATTATTCCACGTCAACAACGAAATCAAATTCGATCAATGACAAAGAAAGATTTTCAATTACTTCGTTGTTTATTCTTGTTCACAATACTTCATACTATTGCCAGTATTTTTCCAACAATATATTCTATTTATGCTGTAGCAACAAGTGGAAACACACCACCAACACTACTACAACGAGCAATTGATGATTTTTTAAAGCATCTTTTCAATTTTTGTTATTATATTTTTTATAGTACTAGTTTCTTCATATTTTTTGGCGTATCAAAAGCTTTTCGACAAGAATTGAAACGAATGATCTACAAACTGTTTGGTCAACATCTAATACCATTACAAGAAGATGAACAAAAAGAGAAAAATAATGCACACAGCAATGTGGAAGTCAATGTTGTACCTATCTATACCGTCGGACAGTTAAAAATAGTTGATGTCTAAATAAAAATAATTCTACTAAGCACTATTTTGTTTTATAGTTTCAAATACTTGTCAACTTTTTCAATGCTATTAAAATAGATTATATACTGTCGCATTGTTTTATACTAACGGATTCGATCGAAGTTAATTGATAAAACTATGTAATCTGAAACAACACGCTATCTTAAACATAGTTTCTATATAACCTATTGATATTATTCTAATCAATAAATCTTTCAGATCGATTCGAAAGTAAGAGAAATATATATTCACATAAATCCTTTATACAACAAAGGATACAGGAAAGGTATAAAATACTTTCTCCCGCTTTTTTTTTTGAAGAACTGTACTTTTACACAATGATACTTCTGATATTAAGTATTCTATCCTGATTAACTATACAAAAAAGTGCGAATGTAGTTTTTACTCCAACTTCATACATTTATTAGAAATCGATAAAACTGATCGAAACTGTTCAATCGAGTTATTTTACTAAAGACATTAAAAAAACAATTTTTTTATTAATTATATAGTGATCCAATGATGTTGAATTCTTTTTAGTTTTTGTTTTATCTATAGACAGATATAGATTACATTATTTGAAAACAAGTCAATTAATGTAGTTGTTTTTACCGTTATGCATGAACATTAATTATGTAAACATTAATAACGTTTCGTAATTTTCTCACATTGTTTTTCTGTTTAATGTACATCCTGTTTCTGTATTATTATTACTATTATAAACTTCTGTTCAAATAATGAATTATATCAAATATATATGAACAATAATTGTCTTCTTCAACTTCTATCAAATGACTATTGTTAAGGGTGTGGGTATCATATTAATATCACACGCACACCCACACCCTCAAAATTGCATTTATCCAATGATGTAATTCTATATGTTCATTTTCTCATGATAATAAATAATCTTTAAGAATATATTTTCTTATGATAAAATTTTATAATACACACCCGCATAATTATGGCGTTTTTATGTTAATAACAAATATATTTCATCAACAAATCAAACATTACTGGAAGTACTGCTTTTTAATATATAGTATTGCTTTACCAATATTTTGCATGATTATGAATAGAGTAGAATCAAAACATGATGAAAAGCAACAAAAGAGTTTTACTCCACAAATTCAGTGTTTGTACTGAAAGGTGTGGGTGTTGGTGTGATTGAGAAGTAAATATAATAATCACACCCACCCTCTAGATGATTCTTTTGGCACGTAGATCTGTCGAAAAACACATTCTTTTCGTCGGTATTTTGCTGATACAGTAAACTTTAGTGATGACCAATCCAATCCGATCTAACTATTCCTCATCTGTGTCAGCTCTTTGCAGATTCCATAAAGATTGAACACATGATTCTGGCTTCAATCAAATTTTTGTGCAGAATCCCTATAATTACCTTTTTTTATTAAATTTTATTGAAAGTAAACTTATGAAGCAAGCATTGCGTTGATTGATTTTTGTCATATCATATTCTAAAGCCTATTGTATGCTTGTATTGATTTTGGGTACTCTGCGCACATGAAAGAAACAAAAGGCAATTATTTTCACGAATCACCAGACGTATCTGTAAAAGAAAAGGAATTTTTTAATTATAGAAAAATAATGCAAGCAAGGTCTTCACAAAGAATAATATGATCATAGATGAAAAAAATCATAAACAATCGATAAAAAGAAGTATATGATTTTGCTGTCTTAAACATGACAGTGTGTATCTTGCTTCATTTTAAATCATATCGTTCGCGATTCCTATGTGAGTATTTTGTTCTCACCAGCCAGTATATCCATCTGCACCTTCGGCGTTGTTCTGTACCATTTAAAACCTGTGATTGCTATTTTAGCGACAGTAAATATCTTTGCTCATCAAAAACAACGGGAAATCCTTCGTTTTCAATAGATGTGAATAGTTTCTATTAAACTAAAATTCACGTAAGCCAATACATAATGATAAACTATTTCCTCGATCAATATTCATAGATTTAGCGCGTCAGCATGTGCACAGTTGAGCCAAAAGTTTGATTGATGAAAGTGTAAGTGCGTCTGTATCTTTGCAAAGATATGATTTGCTTGACAGTGAATTGCAACACAGATATTAGCATATTTTAATTCGTTTTGAGAACATCTAGATTTCGAAAACGATACAAACGATTGATTCTAAATTATTTACTACGAATGCATCGACCTAAAATACGTTTTATTCATGAAAACTGGGCACATAAGATGCTTTTCTTCCGCCATTTCGACAGTGAGAGTCTACCAATAATGATATTTTTAATAGCAGTCCGGGCACTACTACTCAAACTGGGTGCTGAAAACTTTTTTATTTCAAAACTAACGATCCATTTTAAAAGAGCGTAAAAAGTTGTCTTCAAGCCCAAATTTCTAGACTTCCAAGATAAATCTTCATGTCGCTATGAGCCACTGTAGTCTAGGATGTGGGTGTCTTTTCTATATCCCACACTAGCCCCACACCCACACTCACGCTCACCCTCAAGAGAACACCATCTATTTTGAAGCATCCGCTGTTTAATGAAGAAAATAACTTTTGATTCATTTTTGTCACAATGTAAACGATAGATTTTAGACAAGTTCGGCAAAGAATATTGTATGAGCTTTTTCAGATCTTCATTCTTTGAAATGTCATCGAAATGATTTATATATTAGTAATTGCTTGTCAATGCTTTATTATTATCGAGAGCATTCATTTCAATGGCGGCACGATTAGATGGGAACCTGCTGATCCACAAACCAATTCGAGCATGGTTGTAATTAGTATCATTCAATCATATTCTTGGAGCTATCCGACGATGAAATGTGCAAACAATGTGCCAATTTCTACCAGCGGTCGCAGTGGTACGAATACCAATCTAACATGCGTTGTTGACTGTTCAACCGATGGCGGTTATTCAGTGAATCCGGTAAATATTTTAACTGATTGCGTGTCAGCTAGCTCATCGCTAGGCATGATGACTAGTGAACGATCAGTCAATGCAACACTCCTCGCTGGTGCACACTTCTACATATCGTATCGAGGAAGTGCTTGGCGAGCTGTAGACAGTCCGCAACAAAATAATCTTTACTGGTCAATTGTATGTTTCATTGACCTTCGACTACGACCCGATGGTATCATAAACACCCCACCTGAAGCGAACGTCGTTTCACCACAATATGCCATCGTAAACAGAACAACTCAAATTCAAATACCCGTATCAGACGTCAATGCAGGTGATGATTTACGGTGTCGATGGTCAGTGTACGTACCTGGGCATCGAAGACGGAGACAATCGAATGCAGAAGAAAATTTATATGATCAATCGGCTCACCATATGTATAGAAAAATACGTGCAGATGAAGAAATTCCTCATATTAGAAAAAAAAGAACATGTGGTGGTGGTAATACTTGCTACGGTTCTACTTGTGATAATAACTGCTGTTGTACCAGTACACCTTGTTTGTCTGCACCTAGTTGTATAGGTCAAAATTGTGGTTCAAGTTCTGGCTGTCCGATTGTAACAACATCCACAACATCGACGACAACGACAACGACAACGACGACAACAACAGCTCAAAACACGACCACCCTTGAAACACCAGGAACGTTACCAATCACTAGCTCATATCCAGTACGCCAGGCTATTGACGAATGTGGTGGTATTTGCTATCCGAATACGGTACCCAATGGTACGACTTTGTCAAACTGCACACTGACATTCACAGGACTTATACCAAACACTTGGTATGCTGTGTCGATTCAAGTAAGTGGAGTTGAAATGTATGAATAGGAGGAGAAAGAAGGGTGTGGTTGCTAGAGAAGAATATAACATTCACACATACACCCTCAAGAAAGCACTAGGACGATATGTGATTATTTAGCATATGACAAAACGGATGAATTGGCTGTCGATTTGAATACGAAATGAATACGAGTGTATTGACGTGAAAATTTAATTAATCTCATCATGTATTTTAATAAACACCTCTGATACGGATAAAAGTATGTTACCGATTGACAGGTATTTTTGTCTGCTAAAAACACTTTGTTTATGTTCTAAATTCTCATTTTATGAGTACTGGGTTCAACGCGTTTGAAAAAGGTGTTAAAAAGTATGGCATATTAGTAAAATATCTAATTTAGAAATTTTCGCGACAAAAATTATAACACACATATATAACATTTCCTTGCAGGTTGAAGATTTTATCGACTCCACTAGTATGACTCCTATGAGCTCAGTCCCAGTTCAATTTCTGATTTATGTCATGCCGACGCCAAACTGCTCAATAACACCGATTATTATACCACTGAATGGTTGCCTCGAAGTAACAGCAGGCGTTATGAAAAGTTTCAATATATTTGTGATCAATAGATGTAATCCATTCCTCTCAAATGTTAGTGATATTATCGTATCGGCAGGAATTACTGGGATGGAAGTTAGTAATATAACACAATCATCGGCAAATGCATCCCTAGTCTATGTTACATTTACATGGACACCACAAATAAATCAACTTGGCCAACAGCAACTGTGCATAATCGCCTTCACTGAGTAAAACTGCTTTTATCTTATCTAATGGTTATTGCATTGTACGTTTTTCATTATTTTAGCGAGCAGGTACAATCTAAGCAGTATTGCGTTACATTCACTGTAATAACTTCATATTTTCCATGTGTGACAACAACGACTAGTACAACGACATCATCAACCACCAGCACTACATCCACCTCGACAACCACGAGCACCACAACAACTTCAACAACAACTACTACTGAAACATCAACATCGACTTCGACTTCTACAACTTCGACGACATCCACCTCAACTACGACATCAACAACTTCAACTACGACAACAACGACATCAACATCAAGCTCGACAACTTCCACCACAAGCACAACAACGACTAC